TTTTTTTTTGTACCATATATAATGTTTCCTTTTTCACTAGTACTCAACACCAATCATCTCTGAATTTTTTCCTTTGTTTTAGGTCAGAAGGCTAGAACTGAGAGCCAGGACTCAACTCAAAGGCAGAATGTATCTAAAAATTCCAGTCACCAAACACTTCAATGGAAACAATCAGAAAAAATGGTACCCGTGGTTGTGTATTTGGACTTGATAAACCTGAGGGCAGATTGGAGATAAAGAAAGAAAATCCTCCCAAGGAGTCTTTGATGGAGAACTTCTCTCCCAAGGAGAAGAGTACAGGGCCTCCCGAGAGGGCCGACCGAATAGGGAGAAACTTTGACTGCATCCTATGTGGGAAGACCTTTTATGATCACTTATCCCTCAACCACCATCAGCAGACTGATACTGGAGAGAAGCCCCATGACTGTAAAGGTGGGGAAGCCATCAGCTTCAGGAGCAACCTTAATAAACATCCGATCTCTCACACTAAAGAGAGCCCTTCTGAGTGTACAACATATCAGAAAGCCGTCTATGCCCAATTGACCCTTACTGAACATCAGCGGACTCACGACGAAAAGAAACCTTTTAGGTGTAATGAATGTGGTAAAACCTCCTCCATCCGCTTCTCTTTAGCTCGACATCAGAGAATTCATACTGGAGAAAGACCTTTTCAATGTACAGAATGTGGGAAATCCTTTCGAGAGAAAGCAGTTCTTGGTCGCCATAAGCTTACTCACATTGGAGAGCGGCCCTATAAATGCAAAGAGTGTGGAAAGGCTCTGTCTAACCGCTCCTCCCTCATTCGCCACTGGCGAGCACACACTGGAGAGAGCTCTTTTGAATGCGACGAGTGTGGGAAAGTTTTCTTTGATCGTTCATCCCTCACGCAGCATCAGAAAATTCACAGGGAAAAGCCTTGTAAGTGCACTGAATGTGAAAAAGGCTTTATCCAGAAAAGGCTGCTTATTCTACACCAGAGAGTTCACACTGGAGAAAAGCCCTATAAATGCAGTCTGTGTGGAAAAGCTTTCAGTTGCAAGCCATCTATCGTCCTACATCAGTGCCGCCATGCCAGTCAGGCTGCGGACTAGCATTGCTCAGCCAAATAAGGGACACCTTGTATCATCTGTACAGATGTGTGCAAGGCCGGGACGATTTATTGTGCACTCTGTCTTGTTCTCTAGTTGCTGCTATGACAGAAATACCACCAGTAGACGTCATTAACAAATGAACATTTATTTTCTTACAGCCTAGGCAGCTATAAGTCTTACATTTAGGATGCCAGCTCTGGTGGCACTGTCCAGTAAGTGTTGGACTGCTAACTGTAAGGTTGACAGTTCAAACTAATCTGCTGCTCTGTGGAGAGGGCTGAGACTGTCTGCTCCTGTGGAGATTGACAGAAGCCTCAGAGACCCTCTATGGGGTCATTGTGAGACAGAAGCAAATTGACGGTGGTGGAGAGTGGTAGTTCTCAGGAAGGTATGCTCTCTCTGTTGACTCTGGAAGAAGTTACTTATCTCTTTAGCTTCTGTCTCCTGGTTCCTTGGAGACCTCTATGTATCTTGGCATTTGGCTGCCTTCAACTGTGCGCCCTAATTTTGTAAGAGATCGATTCAAGACACACCCTATATTGATCTTGTCGCATTAACATAAAAAAGACCACCCAGTCCCAAATGGGCTTGTACCACAGGTATAGAGGTTAGAATGAACAGTACATTCTTTGGGGGACACAATTCAATTCATAACACGCACCTTCCAAATACAGCTTATTTCCATAAAATCTCAATAAATAGTCTTAACAAACAGACCATGCCATGGGCTTCCCCTTCGAGAGCTCAAATTTTAGATAATAATTCTGACCCAATTGGACCTGTTGGTCAAATCGCTTTGTGAGAATTGTAAGGAGTCTTCTGATGCCGTTTTCTTTCAATGCTGTCTTGACCTAGCTGAGACCCTGGCTGAAGCCACTCTATTCCCTTTCCAAAGCAGTTGATCTAGCCCACTCTCTAACCACTCCCTTTTCAGGCCCCTGCACTTCTGGGTCACTGTGGGCCCGTCTTAACTGTCCTGGGGCCACGTACCCAACAATTAGGGATAGCTCTGTGTTCCCTGAGTCTACGGAATTATTAAGAGTACTCAATTCGTAGAAAGCCTGTACAGCCTGACTCACTCCACTCACCCCGCCACCTGCCCTTTTTATGCTGTCTCCTCCATTTTAAGTTCATTATCTTGCCTCCGATGCAAGTCCCTATGGGCCCCGCATCATGGCATGGTGTGCCTCTTGTCTGTGCAAAAATGAATATCATAAACCAACTTCTTTTTTTTTTTTTTTCTTTTTTAACATTTTATTAGGGGCTCATACAACTGTTATCCCAATCCATACACACATCAATTGTGTAAAGCGCATTTGTACATCGTTTCTCAAAACATTTTCTCTCCATTTAAACCCCCGACATTAGGTCCTCATTTTTCCCCTCCCTCCCCGCTCCCCCCTCCCGCATGAGCCCTTGATAGTTTATAAATGGGTATTTTGTCATATCTTGATGGCCTCCCTGATTCCTCTTTCCTGTGTCACAGCTGACTTTACCACAAATTTGTTGGACCCCAAGGTAGGCATTTAATGCACACATATGGAGCCCTAGTGGCATTGTGGGTTAAGTGTTGGGATGCTAACTAAAAGGTTGGAGGTTCAAACTCACCAGCTGCTCCTCAGGAGAAAGATGAGGATATCTGCTTCAGTGAAAATCTACAGCCTCAGAATCCCTATGTAGGGCCACGATGAATGTGTGTGTGTGTGTGTGTGTGTGTATTCTTCTTGGTGCCAGTTCTGACTCATAGCAGCCCCCTGTGCAACAAAACAAACAGTCCAGCAGCCCTGTCCTGCACCGTCTTCACCATGGTTCTTACATTTGAACCCGTGGCTGCAGCCACTGTGTCAGTCCATCTTGTGGAGGGTCATCTTCGTTTTTGGTCCTTTTCCAGGTACTGGTCCCTCTTGACAGCATAGCCAAAGAACCTGAGACAAAATCTCACCATCCTTGCCTTTAAGGAGCAAGACAGATCCGTTTGTTCTTTTGGCAGCCCATGGTACTTTCATTATTCTTCACCAGCACAACACAAATGCATCAGTTGTTCAGTCGTCCCCACCCAATGTCCAGCTTTCTCATGAATATGAGGAGAATGAAAATACCATGGCTTGGGTCAGTTGCACCTTAGTCCTCAGAGTGACCTCCTTGCTCTTCAACACCTTAGAGAGGTCTGGGCAGCAGATTCACTCAAGGCAATGAGTCATTTGATCGCAACTTCTGCTTACATGAGCATTGGTTGTGAATCCAAGCAAGATGAACTCCTTGACAGCTTCCTTCTTTTCCCCATTTATCATGATACTACTTGTTGGTCCAGTTGTGAGGATTTTGGTCTTTACATTGAGTTGTAATCCATAGAAGCTTGCTATCCTTGATCTTCATCAGCAAAGGCTTCAGGTTCTCACTTTGAACAAGCAAGATTGTGTCACTTGCATATTGTAATCACTAGTAAACCTTCTATCCTTACACTGCATTCTTGTCTACATGATCCAGCTTCTCTGATTATTTGCTCATTATGCAGACTGAACAAGCATGGTGAGAGGATACAAACCTGATGCACACCTTTCCTGGTTTTAAGCCACGCAGTATTACCTGTCCCATTCACACAATTTCCACATGTGCACAATAGAGAGTGTTCTGGAATTCCCAATACTCTCAAGGGTATCCATAATTTATTTTTCCAACTCTAGGTCTTTGCACATTTCATTATAATATTTTACTTTGTCTTTTTGAGCTGTCCTTTGAAATTTTCTGTTCAGCTCTCTGACTGCATTTCTTCCTTTTGCCTTAACGACTCCATCATTAAAAGCAGGTCACAGAGTCTCTTCTGACATCCATGCTGATCTCTTGATCTTTTCTTTCCTCTTTTCATGGCCTTTTGTTTTCTTCTTGTATGATGTTACTGATCTCATTCCCAGCTTGTCAGATCTTTTGTCATTACGATGTTTTCAATATTCAGGTGGGATTTACTCAAGGTTGTATTGGGCCCTCACGGACTTGTTTTTATTTTGTTCAGCTTCAAGCCGAACTTGCATATGAGCAATTGATGGTCTGTTCCACAGTTGGCCCCTTGGCCTCATTTTAGCTCCTGAGTTTGAGCTTCTCCATTGTCTCTTCCCACAGATGTAGTCCATTTCTTTGTATTCCATCTAGAGAAACCACATGTGTAATCCCTGTTTGTGTTGTTGAAAAAAGGTCTTTTCAACGAGAAGTCCTTAGTACTGCAAAATTCTATCATGCAATCTCCAGCTTGGTTTCTACTATCATATTTTCCAACTGCCGATGCAGCCTCTTTCTAACTTTTGCATTCCAATTGCCAGTAATTATCAATGAATCTTGATTGTGTGTTTGATCAAATTCAGGCTGAAAACATTGCTAAACTTCTTCAATTTATGCATCACTATTTTAGGGGTCTTAATTTTAATCATAGCTGTATTGATTGGAGTTTTTATATGAGGATAGATATTATCCTATCACAGACCGTACTGTCCTTCAAGATAGATCTTGAGTTGCCCTTTTTGACGGTATATGTGATACCAGTCTTCTGGAAGCTCATTCCTGGCACAGTGAGCCGTATGACTGCCGGATTCAAAGTGGCCAACAGTCTATTTCAACTCACGAATGCCTAGTTATCAATCTATGGATTCTATTTCCTTTTTGACAACTTCCAATTGCCCAAGATTCACACTTTGTACATTTCCAAATTCCAATTATTTCTAGGATTTCCAGCTGTTTTGTCTCATTTGAGTTGTACCCCATCAGCAGATGAAGGTTCCACAGGCTTTACTCTTACCTATGTCATTATGATCAACTCTACTTTGAGAAGGCAGCTTCATATTTTGAGTGCATGCCAACCTGAGGGGCTCAGTTTCTGACAGTATATGAAAATGTTCTGCTACTTTTCCCGAGTTTTTCAGTATTTGACAAAGTTTTGATGCTATCCATAAGGATTTCAATGGCTAATTCCTCTCAAGTGGACAGCCTAGTCCTTCTTCATAGTCTGTTCTTAGCCTGAAAGCTCTATTGAAACCTATCCACTTTGGGTGAGCTTGCTCATATTTGCAAATACCAATGACATCGCTTCCAGCATCAGAGCAACACAAAGCCACCCCATACAATAAACTACAACACAAGTGATTATCTATATATACACATATATAACACGGATGATATTTATATAATTCTAGGTGGGCTGCTCCATGCACAATGAGAACACGGGACTGTTTCCTAACCTGTGTACTATGTCAGTTGTGACCCAGCATCCCATTAGCATTGATTACATGTTTCCTAGATGATTTAACATCGTTCTAGTCAAAGAACATGAGTCCTAGGTCAATTACACTTTCTAGAATAGAAGTTTCAAAAAGAAAATAAAGTTCAAGCTATATTTAGCCTGTAAATAAATGCCTTTGCTACAGTTGTTTAGCTATTAATCTGTTCTTGAAACTTTCTGGGGCTCTGATTCTGGTTATATACCTTTGTTCTCCACTCAGTAAGTTTTCCTGAACTTCTGATCCTCTAACAACCTCTGAGCTCTGGTAGACTAACCTATCATCCAGTTATTGTTGCTTCTGGTACAGTGGCCATTGTTTCCAGTTTCGTCTTTGTCTAATTGTTGTCTAAGATTTCTTAGTCTGGCTATAGGGGATTTGGGATGGTCCATCTTGCACCAACACCTTGGACACCCTACTTTCCTTTTTTCACTATATATTCACTTAAAGCTACTGAGGAGAAAAATTATTCATACCCCAAAGTCCCATTTCAGTTATAACATCCAGGTGTAGCCAGGGCATCTGGGTAGGGTCCCCGGTGAAGAGGTCAGCCACAAGAAACCAGCAATTGGGGCTTGGTCTAATCTCAAAACATGCCAGAAAGTCAAAGTTGACCGCAGACATCTTCTCCATGAACAGTAGTAACCTTCAGTACTGTCTGGGTGGGCTAGAGAGAAACAGATTCATAAACATGCATATATGTATGTTGTCGGGGGCTTAAGTGGAAAGCAAATGTTTTGAGATTGACGAGGGCAATGAATGTACAAATGTGCTTTACACACTTGATGTGTGTATGGATTATGACAAGAGTTGTATGAGCCCCTAATAAAACTATTAAAAAAAAAAAAGACAGCATCAGAAC